TAATTCATTTTCACGGCTTCACTGCCCAGTGGCTTAATCTCTACATTTTTGCACTAAAGATGTCTCAGGTTTTACCTACGCAGCGCCAGTGCCATTGCCAGCGTTCGTTGCAAATCGCTATTTTGCACAACCAACCAGCGTTACGTAGGGTAGGCGCCATTCGACCGCCGGATGAAGGGATCAGATCAACGGGGCCATGTCGCACGTGTGGTGTAGTGGTCTTGCATTTCCGGTTCCCAACCGGACGGTCCCGGGTTCGAACCCCGGCACGTGCAAACTGTTTTTTCGCATTTTCGTCCGTTTTATAGTTACCATTTCTGCAAACATTTTTGACGATTTCCAAAAGCTGTTCGATCTGTAGTTGATTTCTACGCTTTTGGCGTATGTGCCATTGGTTCAAACTTCATTTTCCATCCTACGGCACTCATCCAGAAACGCACAAGTATGCACTGCCTTAATCGCCCAGTGTTGACTGCCTGTCGCGTCCGATTATGCGCTTCTCGAGTCGACAAAGGTGCCGAAAAACGGCACTCGGATGCATACCGCCAATCGGTTGTGCGAGTAGTTTTCCCTTTTCCTGACCGGTTCTTTCTTCTCCTCCCGCCCGTCAGCGGCCCAGTGGGACATCGCCCAATTCGCATTGGGCGCCTTACCTTCGCACGGCCGGCCGACCGATCGGAATCGGAGAGGCGCAACCCTAGGCGACCTTTGCCTTCCTCTTCACCGCTCTCCGGACTTTTTGTGCCGCGCGCAAGCGACCGGCCCCAGCGTGGCTCTACGCGCGGTGCACATTCCAACAAAGTGCGTACCCTCACCCACCCACCCATCGCCAGCCTCTCCTCAAAGTGCTGAGGGGTGATCAAAACGTGCGGCGGCGGGCGGCCAAAACTGTCCCATTCAGAGCGCGGGACCCACGCATCGAACTTTTGGCAGGGCTCGCGCGGCGTAGCAGTTGTTGACGGAATCCACGCGTCGTAGGACGACTCTCGTTCAGTTTCTACCGTCGAGGGAGGTTCGTGTTTGTGTCGATTGAGTCCTACCTGCATAAGTGCACTGCATCTAACCGACTTTCTCTTTTTTGTTGAACTTCAATCTTAGATTTGAAAGCTTATACGAAGTTTGGCTTCGCTTGGGCGCAATGTTCCGGACTGGCAGTTTCATGACTCGTTTTTAGCTTTGTTTGCCTGCCAAAGCCCAAAGCATGTTTTACCGCGTCTTCAGTGCGAATGCGTTACGCAAACCTTTTTCGCATCCCGCTGTTCGTACTCCCAGTATCCTCCATAGCATGCCACATTTACGTTCGTGCAGTTGAGACTCTGTGGACATCATAGGACGCAATCGGCTCGGGTCCACTCTTCTCGGGTTTTTTTTATCGATGGCGTCGGTTTTCACTTTCCGTTCGCGACGCGCTCCTCCTTAATGACGGCAGGGCAAACAAAAAGTTCGTTTGCGCCGCGCGTCCTTGTTGACTCTCGACCGGGCGCGCCCATGAATGAATATTGATATTGTCTATAAGCGGACGCATCGGTCCTCGTCTGTGAGAGGAGAAGGGGCGATCCAGAATGAACTGTAGTTTTCTGGTAATGCTCCTATGTGCCTGAGGGTTGCAGTGCTTTCAGCTACATTCCTTTGAATGCCAGAAATATGCAAATGGCGAGCCGCTGCCAGTCATTCTGTTTTTCTAACATCGCGTTCTTTCGCACTACCGCAATAACTTTCCACGGAACATATGTTAGATTTCCCGTTCGCGTTGCGCCCTTCCGCTTCCCGAACGCGTCTAATTGCATGCGGCTGTTCGCCCCTGGACGATTGCCAACCCGCGGTGGCAGCCGAGGCAGCAAGAAGAAGCTCTCGCGAAGCGTGCGGGAGATCGAGAGCCGCCAGCGAGAAGGAAGAAGCCCATCGGTTCTCACACACATCTGGAGGAAATCTGCCTGCGTCCCATAGCCTCCACCGTTCGGAAGCAGCCCAGCCGAGCGGATAGTTTACCGCCGCTCTCGAGGGACCGGGAGCGTCAGCCGCGCCGCGACAAATGGCAATGAATTGATCCCGGCTAGCCAGCGGGTGAGGAAAATCACTCCGCCCTCGACGCTCAACCTTTGACCCGTCGCGGGTCGATCGCTTCACCGAAAGGGCTT